ATTTACATTATATCATACATCGTTGTATTCGTTTCAAATAGTGCTACAACTTTCATCATATCGAAATATTCACATTATTATAAAAAAATTATGCATATTTCTCCATTCGTTAACACAGATAGCGTTTGAAAGCAACCATTATACTCACAATAGAGTTCAATTTGAACTATTTAATTTGATATATATTTGTTATGGTCTATCTCTTTTAGCTTAAAAGATAAAAAGGGGTGGCAACTTTTGATGGGACACCCTGTATATTCAGTATTCTTTCATGACAAATAATTGTAGCTAATTCCCATTCGCGAACTTTTTCATGTATTCATCATATCATAAGATTAAAAAGTTTTCAAAATATGCATTTGAATAACTGATTAACAAGGTCTTTAGCATTCTGTAAATCATTAATTATTTGAAGTAATTCAATTGATGAATAGTTTTTACTGCAAATTATTAGTTACGTAAAGATAAATAAATTATTAAAAATATTATTAGTTTTTATTTATGAAAATATTGTAATAAGATAGTCATTTGCAGAAAGGTTGACATATTTTTTTCGATAAATTTTGAGTCGCTATTAAATGAACATTTGCTCATGTAAGTCTTCGCAATAATACAATCACTAGAATAAACATTATAAAAAGAATGAAGAATCATTAACCATTGTAGACGATTTATTTACATTTTGCATTATTTCGACGTTTATTGCGGAAACTCATGATCAAAGGTTCGCATTTAATAGCATTGCAAAACTCATCGAAAAAAAGTGTATTAATTTTTTTGTAAATGACTATTGTAATATATATATGACTATAATACTATTATACTGGAAACTTGTTACTCTTCTGAGTTTTCCGTTTAATGCGCTTTGCAAATAATATAGTTATTGATACTTGAAAATTGAAAAATTTGTAGTGTGTTATAAGGCAGAAGATGCATTTCTAACATCTACGCAGTCCAGTCAGTGAGCGCTGGATCAGTAATGCTGTGTTCTGGATACGATGCCAATCTTCCTTTTTCTTTATTATCATTTTTTCTATTTTTTCGTTATCTATATTTTTTAAATTTTTTTTATAGCGCCCTCTCTGTAGGTCTCGTTACGCGTATCGTGCATGTATGTATAATAATGTCTGCGTTTGGAAACATCACCCGTGTGCACACGAGCGTCATTATATCTTTGTTATTTACTAAAAGTTAACGAAAGTTCTTAAATAAATTTAAATAATTTAATGATTTAATTGATTTGAAAATTTGGTTTATATTTTAATTAATAAATTATTTATATTTTGCTACATTAATTACATTTATAATAATATAATCTTATTTAATATGAAATAATACGTATATATTAAAATTTTAATGCTAAAAATGTTAATGATAAAATTTATTATTAGTTAAGTTCTTATTTAATTAATAATTTTAAGTTGTCATATTTTATAATCTGCTATATAGAAATCAATAACGTTTAATTATTTACATATCATTACATTTATTTATTTTTTATTTTTAAATTTATAATTATTATATAAAACGTGCAAACCAAAGTTCTTAAATTAATTTAAATGATTTAATGATTTATTTGATTTAAAAATTTTCTTTAGATTTTATATAATTATATACGATACGTTTATTTATTATACGTTGACTTATTATATGTTTATTTATTATACGTTTATTTATTATACATTTAATTATTAACGTTTAATTATTAACGTATTATTACGTTTATTAATTTTTTATTATTAAATTTAGAATTGATATGTTATTGATTATTATTATTAATTTAGTAATATTTCGTATATTTATATTTATAGTAGTTCTGAAAAGGAGGATTTAAAAAAAATGGAAAAGGAGTTTCAATTTTAAATCATAATAGTATTTGTGAAAGTGAAGATATTTCAACAAAAAGTGGAAAAGGAATTTCAATTTTGAATTGTAACAATGAAGAGGAAATAATACAATTTGTATCTGATGAAATATTAGAAACGATACAGTTTGAAGATTCAACTGTGTAAGTTTTTATATTTATTCTTATACTTTAATTTGCAAATTTAAAAGCATAACACGGTTTGTCATTTGCTATTGATTTTTATAAGCTAATATTGATTTTTGGACTTTAATTTCTTATATCTACGTAGTATCCACACATTAAAAGTGACAAAATTAAATTAAATGAGCAGTAAATTTAATACCTAATTGATTTAGAAAATTATTGTAACCTTAACATATAAAGATTATAAGTGTAAATATGATCCAACCACAGATAAAACGATTAATTTTATTTATGTTAAATTTTTTAAATTATTAAAATTTATTATAAATAATAATAGCCAAAAAATTAATTAAATATTAATAAAACAGTTGATAAAAGGGTATAAATTCTATAAAAAGATAATAAATAAATAAAGACATTTTTAATAAATAACCTTTTTGGTCCTATTTCATCATAAACAGATATATATCCTAAAAATATTAAACAGCAAAATAGAATACAAGTTATTGTTTGTAACAAAGAAATTGAGCGAATAGAATTTCATTTGCAACCAAACCGAATAATTAATAAATTATTTATATTATGCTACATTAACTATATTTATAATGTAATCTTATTTAATATAAAATAATACGTATATATTAAAATATTAATAAAATGCGATAAATAAATGCAATAAAATTTATTATTAATTAAAAAATAATAATTATATTACACGTCTCGTTCTCGATGATAACAGGTAGTAATGCTTCGCATTGCACAAATCTCACAACATTTCAGAGTATAGAATTTGAAACTGGTGCGCCGGGCCCCAGTAGAGGGTCTACGCGCCTTCCGTCGTTATATTGTTTTGTTGTGCAAAATTTTGATTACGTTTCGAGTATAGCTCTCAAGTTAAAAACCGAATTTTCGACAACAAGGGTACTAATAGAAATGCCGCATGAGAGGAAAAGGAAGCGTACTCGATCTCGATCAAGGGATCGTAGAAGAAGTAGGGACGAGACGAAAGAAAAGCTGGAAAACCTCCAGACTCAGCTGAATAACCTCACTAGCATACTCGGTCAATTGACCCAACGCCCTGGTAGGTGCAAGTTATGATAGTTTCCACACGAAACTTTCATAGTTGCATCATATTTTGACATTCCATACGAAGGTCTAAACAAGAGTTATGCAGGTTTCCATACGAAACATATTTATAACCTAATTAAAGCGCGGCAGTTCCACACGAACGCCAAAGCGCTATGTCCATACGACAACATAAAAAAAAAAAATATCTGTGAAAGAAGTTCAATAAGAACATACATTCACAGCTTACAAGTTTTGTTTACGAAGCTTGGTTATGAAGTTAGACAATTCCAAACGAATGTCAAACTTATGTCATGTCCACACGACAACGACAATTTCAGGATGTACAGAACGAATGGAGTGGCAATTTCACACGAATGCCACTGGCAATAAGCCACACGATAAATGACATATTTTTTTTATTCAAAAATATTAGGTGTACAACTTTGCTTCCGCCGTTTTCCTATAGATGGCTTTAGCGGTAAGTAGTGGTCGAAATAAATAGATCATAGACGTCATGCAATAAACTTGGGCATCTGTCAACATAACCCCATAGAAACATTAGTCGATTTGTGTTTGCATCATAAAGTTATTCTCGATTGAAAATGTCAGTTTACGAGCCAAATTCTCGTCATTTGCGGGAGGTTTTAATTTTCTGCTTTAATATGAAGAAATCTGGTGCTGAGGCTCATCGAATGCTCTCAAATACTTATGTTGAGGCCGCTATTAGTGAAAGAACGTGTCGTGAGTGGTTTCAATGCTTCAAGAACGGTGATTTTCACGTCGAAGACCGGCATAGCGGTGGAAGAGAGAAGGTTTTCGAAGATGCAGAATTGGAGGCATTACTTAATGAAGACTCGAGTCAAAGTCAAGAAGAATTGGCACGATCATTGGGAGTGATTCAACAAGCAATTTCAAAACGCCTCAAAGACATGGGAATGATTCAGAAGCAAGGGAATTGGGTGCCGTACGAGTTGAAACCGAGAGATGTTGAACGGCGTTTGTTTGCTTGTGAACAGTTGCTTGAAAGGCAAAGACGGAAGGGGTTTCTGCATCGCATTGTGACTGGGGACGAAAAATGGGTTCATTACGATAACCCCAAGCGCAGAAAATCATGGGGATATCCCGGCCATGCTTCCACGTCGACGGCCAAACCGAATATTCACGGCTCCAAGGTCATGTTCTGTAAATACAGAAATGGTGGGACCAGCTCGACGTAATGTATTATGAGCTGTTAAAACCGACTGAAACAATCACAGGCGATCGTTATCGAACGCAATTAATGCGTTTGAGCCGAGCATTAAAAGACAAACGGCCGCAATACAACGAGAGACACGATAAAGTGATTTTGCAGCATGACAATGCTCGACCCCATGTTGCGAAAGTGGTCAAGACATACTTGGAAACTTTGAAATGGGAAGTCATACCCCACCGTATTCTCTAGACGTTGCTCCCTCTGACTATCACTTGTTTCGATCAATGGCACACGGCCTGGTTGACCAGCACTTCCGGTCTTATGAAGAAGTAAGAAATTGGATCGATTCGTGGATCGCTTCAAAAGATGACCAGTTTTTTCAACGCGGAATTCGTACGCTGCCCGAAAGATGGGAGAATATGTTTACCCTCCTATCTTCCTTTTTTCTGTGTTCCTTTTTCAGATATTACTGAAAACAAAGAAATCCTGGATAGTCAAACTGTTTCCTCAGTAGAGCAGATTCCATCTGAGCACATAGAAAATTCATCTGTTGATGAGATAACTGATGAGTCGGTCATTCCCGAGGATATATTGGATTTATTGGGGGACGATCCCAATGCAAATAAAGAATTGACAATCAAGTTCCATCCAGAGCTCAAACGCAGATGGGAGAAATGGATGCAGGAAGGTTTTCCGGAGGAAAACAAGAAAGCTATCCTACAAAAGTATCCAAGGAAACAAGAATTATATTCTGAGGCTCCCAAGGTTAATTTGGAAATCGTTCCAATTTTGTCCGAGATTACTATTAAAAGAGACCATCATTTTCTTGAGACACAAAACTGTGTAGATTCTGCAATATCAGCTCTGGCTGCTGCAGTTTCATTAATTCTCGATGATCCCGATGACGGCATTGATCAGGGAATGCTCACAAAATATCTTTGTGATGCTGGAAAGTTATTGTCTGACGTTTTTTATCAGCAATCTGTGGCCAGAAAATCTTTTATCACTCCTTTGCTAAATAAGGGCGTTAAACCCACAATTGAGGCTACTACATCGGATGAATGGCTGTATGGAAACAAATTTGCCGAACAGGTTAAAGAAGTTCAGGCAATCGGAAAGGCGTGTGCAAAAATCAGAGCCCAAGATAAACCAAAAGTATCGACATATAAATCACGAAATCAGGGAAACTTGAAATACCCACCTGCCAGGTACAGGCAGGTGGGGACGTATCCGAGACGATCAACAATCAAATTCAAGCCACGGAGCCAAAGAACAAGCCAAGGTGCATCAAAACCCTCGAGTCGAACGTCAAGCCAATCGACGTCGACGAAGAAGTAAAGGAGGTAAGAATCCAAGCAGGTCGTCTTAGACTTTTCATCGACCATTGGAAAGAGATCACTACTGACAAATATATTTTTAACTGCTTGAAAGGATATAAGATTCCTTTCAGAGAAACTCCTCGCCAAGACAAATCATCTAAGGATTTTGTCTGGTCAGAATCAGATCAGGTAAAAATTGCTCTGGAGATCAACAATTTAATGTCCAAAAATGCAGTTGAAGAATGTGAAGATTGCGAAGGACAGTTTGTCTCTTCTTATTTTCTGGTTCCGGAATCTGATGGTTCTAGCAGGTTTATTATTAACCTAAAAAAGTTAAACGAATTTATAGATACCTGTCATTTTAAAATGGAGGACATTTGTTCAGTTAAAAGCTTATTAACTCAGGGGGCATATATGTGCTCCCTTGATTTAAAGGACGCATATTTTCTTGTTCCAATACATATAAACACAGAAAATATTTACGATTCAAATTCAAGAACAAACTGTTCCAATTTACTTGTCTACCCTTTGGACTATCTACAAGTCCGTACATTTATACAAAAATTATGAAACCAGTCATGCATAAATTGAGAACAATGGGCATTTTATCTCTAATTTACATTGACGATTTTCTCTTTATACATAAATCCTTTAATAGGTGTCTAACTAATATAAATGAAGCAATAAACCTGCTGGAACATTTAGGTTTTGCAATAAACTATTCGAAGAGCTCATTAACTTCAAGCCAAAAATGTAAATATTTAGGTTTCATAATTAATTCTGCTGAATTTAGACTAGAGTTAACTGAAAAGAAAAAACTGCAGATCGCAAATCTGACTAATCAATTCAAGATAGGAAGTTGCTATAAAATTCGTGAGGTGGCTAGAGTACTCGGGGTGCTAACAGCGGCATGTCCGGCGACAGCATACGGCTCAATTTACTGTAAACGTTTAGAAAGACAGAAATTCTTGGCACTACTCCTAAATGACAATGATTATGAAGGAAAGATTTATATAAATAAAGCCATGTCTGATGACTTACTCTGGTGGAAAGAAAACTCACAGACAGGGTGCAACCCTATTAGAATTCTTAAATTCGCCCTAGAAATTTCTTCAGATGCTTCATTAACTGACTGGGGAGCTCACTGTCAAGGATCTAGTAGCCAAGGTTTCTGGAATCGACATGAGAAACATTATAGTATCAATTACCTTGAATTACTAGCGGCTTTCTTTGCACTTAAATGTTTTGCTCCTTCATTGTATAACTGCGAAATTCTGCTAAGAATGGATAATACATCTGCAATATCTTACATAAATAGAACAGGAGGTGTTCAATTTCCTCACCTTAGTGAGTTAGCCAAAAAGATCTGGCAGTGGTGCAAAAGCCGAAAAATTTGGATCTTTGCATCGTATATTCCCTCAAAACAAAACGTGGAGGCGGATGCGGCTTCTAGAGTAACTAATATAGATACTGAGTGGGAATTAGCTCCTGAAGCTTTTAAAAAATTAAATAAAGAATGGGGTCCATTTACAATAGACCTATTTGCTTCTAGATCGAACAGAAAATGTAAGCGTTTTTACTCTAGATATCCGCAACCGGATGCAGAGGTGGTAGATGCTTTTACAGTTACATGGAAAAACGAAAAACTCTATGCGTTTCCACCTTTCGCTCTCATCGCGAGAACACTACAAAAAATAGTTGCAGATAAGGCTGAGGGCACAGTGGTCGTTCTTTTCTGGCCAGCTCAGCCTTGGTATCCATTCTTTGCTTCACTCTTATCTGCTCCACCTATAATTTTTGATCCACACGATAACTTATTATTATCTCTCTGTAGACGATGGTCACACCCGCTGGCGTCAAAACTTTCATTGGTGGTAGGGAACTTATCCGGATGGCGTTCCTGAAGAAAGGAATCAATGAAGACTCAGTGGATATTATGATTAACTCCATAACAGTTTCGACACTCAAACAATATCAAGCTCATCTAAAATTATGGTGGGACTTTGCATCGGTAAACAGCATTAATATGTTTCAAGCAGATACGCCCGCGATTATAAGTTTTTTAACAAAAAGATTCAAAGAAGGCGCTAGCTATGGTACACTAAATTCAACAAGATCGGCTATCTCTCTTATCTCCTTACGTGATATCTCTAGTGATGTTCTAATATCACGGTTTTTTAAAGGGATTTTCAAACAAAAACCTACAAAACCCAAGTACTCTAGCATCTGGGACACTGCACCGGTACTTAACTATTTAGAAAATATTAATCCTTTGAACCAATTTAAGGCCAAAGAAGTAGCAGAAAAGACTGCGACACTTTTAGCATTAGCTACCGCACATAGACTTCAAACATTAGCTTTAATAAAGACAGATAATATTTTGATTTCAAGTACTGGTATTACTATTAAAATACCAGACTTGATAAAAACTTCAAAACTAAGTAATTTTCAACCTGAATTAATTCTTCCGTTTTTTAGAGAGAAACCAAGTCTCTGTGCAGCCTCAGTTGTTATAGAATATTTAGATTACACTAAAGACCTAAGATCGAATAATAATAAGAGATTATTGATTTCTACCGTGAAGCCGCATGGTGACGCAACAGCGCAAACAATTGCACATTGAATCAAGTCTCTACTCAATAAGTCAGGCATAAATACAGATCAGTTTTCCGCATATAGTACTAGACATGCTGCAGTTTCAGCAGCCCACCGAAAAGGCGTCGATATAGATACAATTAGACGTACAGCAGGATGGTCCGTCCATGTCACAAACCTTTGCAAGGTTTTACAATAAACCGATCCAATTATCTGATAAAAACTTTGCGCACTCCATACTTAAGGAATAAAAAATTATTTTGCTCAGGCGGTTTCTTCTTTAAAAAAAAAACAAAAAAAAAACATGCTTTTGTGGCGGTCCAACGAACCACCACAAGATCGAAACGACCACCCGGTATATGCGCCGACGAACTTTGACGTGCAGGGCGCGCGGAGCCCGCGCGCAGGAACGAAACGAGCCGCAAGAGCCCACCGCGACGCGGCGACCATCGCGAGCGCTATCAATGAGTGGGATCCGTTGAGTGGGGCTTATAAGGCCGTGCAGTAGGCCCAGACGGCGAGTCGTCGCTCAGCTAATGGAGAGTACATTCCGAAGCAAAGACACGTATAGAGCGGAGAAATCCGCCGCAAAGCATTTGTCCACAGGAAATTGACACCGAGGGCAAAAACACAGCGCAGCCTTCCAGGGTCCAGACCGCCGCCCAAATCACCGGGCAACGAGCGGACAGGAGGAACCGAGAGCCCACAGTCGCCGGAGCCGCTTCCAAAGGATAAACGCGTAGGGTGGAGCCTACTTCCGTGGAAGCTTATCCCGCTGGACTTGGAGCCGCCTCAACTAACGCGGCCCCCACGGTTCTTCCTCAAGACGTGGGACATACGCTTAAGACGCTACACGTCACCCAGGGAAGCCTGGACAGCACCGCTTCTATTATCGCCGCTCCCAGCTTCACCAACACGTCCGGTGACACGGGAGACGCAGACAATACCACCAAGCCGAGTACATCGCGGCGTCCAAGCAGGGCCACCTTCTGGAGTCGACCAGGCGTCACAATCGGACAGCGACTGGGAATCTTCCACGCGCGTTTCCAGCACGCAGACAGATCCGGAAGTTACCGCACGATCGACAGAGACCGGCAACGACCTTAAGCCGTGTTCACCGGCACCGAGCTCTCAATCTGAGGCCTTGTCCACAAGGAGCCGGAAGACACCGCAGCACGACCCTAAGACGAGTTCACGGACACCGAACACTCAACCTAAGGCCCCATCCACAGGGAGTCGAAAGCCGCAGAAGATCGCACGGCGCGAGTAGTGGGGACCGCTGCAACATACTCGCTCCACACCGTCCATCACGTGGAGAGAAAAGAGACAGCGATAATCAGCTCTTGTAAGGGCTCAAACGAAACGGCCCTTTTCAGGGCCACCAAACATATGAACGTAGAACATTCACAAACATTCGCAAAATTTTACAATAAGCCGATACAAACTCCAAATAATAATTTTGCGCACTCGATATTGAAAAACTAAAACATGATTTATGTTCTTATTAGTTCTTATATCTTATGTTATTAATATGTATCATTTGTTTGCAATTAAAAAAAAAATAGAGAGAGTTGTCACAGACTCTAAAAGTCTACCTATTATCATCGAGAACGAGACGTGTAATATAATTATCCGATCAAACGAGCCCGTCGAAGGCGGGCGAAGTTCGATCGCAATTATATGAAACGTCTCGTTCGAAGATGATCCGTTTCCACCCTTGTTTATTAAAGGGATCCCAAAGGGTCTGTTTTACCGATAAAAACTTTATTTTGCAAAATCTTTTTGTTGATTATAGATATCAAAAAATCCTTTTCCACAATTAAAGTATACATAATAACGGAGGGCGGAGTTTAACATTTCATATGAAAAGTGGAAAAAAATGATAAAATTACAGTTTAGTTATCGGCCTGTGCCGTCAACATTTACTTAATATAAAAGATTTGTAATCTGCACGTGCCTAATCAGTGAACCCCGCACTCGGCATTTCATCAAAGAGTATAAATGAGCTTAGAGAAGTGAGTTCAGAAGCTTTATAAAAAAGATTTTGCAAAATAAAATTTTCGTGCATATGTGTGTGTGCGAGATGGAGGCTCAAGAGTAAAACAGAGCAGTAGATTAGTTGCGTGATGTCGCGATAGACAGAGCTGCAATCGTACATGACAAACACAGACATAATCGTACTATCTTCGTCTCTTTCATGCGTGTGAGAGTAATATACATGTACGCACTAACATTATTGCAGTATCTTTTTTCTCTCAATCATACGCTCTGTCACGCTCTGTCTCTTTCTAATCGCTCGCTCGCTATGAACTACGTATCGCTTCATGCTCCTCGCATATTCACTTACGCGTTCACTCGCGCTTCTCTCTCTCACTCTCTCTCTCTCTCTCTCTCTCTCTCTCTCTCTCTCTCTCTCTCTCTCTCTCTCTCTCTCTCTCTCTCTCTCTCTCTCTCTCTCTCTCTCTCTCTCTCTCTCTCTCTCTCTCTCTCTCTCTCTCTCTCTCTCTCTCTCTCTCTCTCTCTCTCTCTCTCTCTCTCTCTCTCTCTCTCTCTCTCTCTCTCTCTCTCTCTCTCTCTCTCTCTCTCTCTCTCTCTCTCTCTCTCTCTCTCTCTCTCTCTCTCTCTCTCTCTCTCTCTCTCTCTCTCTCTCTCTCTCTCTCTCTCTCTCTCTCTCTCTCT